GCCGGTAGCTTCTGGAATACTGTCCAACCATCTCGTCCTCTGTCGTCCTCTTCTCCTTGTGCCCTCCATCTTTCCCAACATCAGGGTCTTTTCCAGGGAGTCTTCTCTTCTCATGAGGTGGCCAAAGTATTGGAGGCTCAGCTTCACGATCTGTCCTTCCAGTGAGCACTCAGGGCTGATTTCCTTAAGAATGGATAGGTTTGATCTTCTTGCAGTCCATGGGACTCTCAAGAGTCTCCTCCAGCACCATAATTCAAAAGCATCAATTCTTCGGCGATCAGCCTTCTTTATGGTCCAGCTCTCACTTCCATACATATATAACATTGTATGGTGTTAAATGTATGTTCCCTTTGCTGGTGGCACACTGCTCTGCAGCACCCTCTGAGGTCACATTTTAATAACACATTTTTAACGTTATAAACCATGAGTATAGATCTGCCCCAAGAAATTGGTGTAAAAGAAATAGTGGAGGAAAGGCAAGCTACCCATCAGGACATTCCTGGGCCAAACCTCACCTCTGCCCAGGAATTGACTGGAGCAACCTTAGAGCCAAGCTACACAGCCTTTAAGTACAGATCTGTGTTTGCGTACAAATGGCCGCTGCAGCTTCCCCAATCTAGAATGGATTCCTAACATGGCAATGAGAAGAACTTGAACCTTTTACCCCCACTCTGCCCTGGATCCAAATCAAGCTCCCCTGAAATTAGCAATTTACATTGCCCATTCATTTCAATGGGAGGTAGTTGTTTTTCTCATGCAAATTTTCTCATGCTCTCTCTCTCTCACACACACACACACAGAGAGAGAGAGAGAGAGAGAGAGAAGGAGGTCCCAATCCAGAGCAGAAGGCCACCCTGGCAATTTGTGGGACAAGCTAACCAATCCACAGCTTACACACACTGCTTTTCTTCAGCCTCAGTTGCCCCACCTACAATATGGGGGCATACGGGTGGCGCTACAGTCTAAACCGCTGAGCCTCTTGAGCTTGCTGATCGGAAGGTTGGCGGATCGAATCCCCACGATGGAGTGAGCTCCCGTTGCTCTGTCCCAGCTCCTGCCAACCTAGCAGTTCGAAAGCACGCCAGTGCAAGTAGATAAATAGATACCGCTGTGGCGGGAAGGTAAACAGTGTTTCCGTGTGCTCTGGTTTCCGTCACAGTGTTCCGTTGTGCCAGAAGCGGTTTAGTAATGCTGGCTACATGACCTGGAAAGCAGTCTGTGGACAAAGGTCATCTCCCTCGGCCTGAAAGCGAGATGAGCGCCGCAACCCCACACTCGCGTTTGACTGAACTTAACCATCCAGGGGTCCTTTACCATTTACCTTTACCTTATGGTGGAATAATAATAATAATAATAATAATAATAATAATAATTTATTTATACTCCGCCCTCCCCAGCCAGGGCCGGGTTCAGGGCGGCTAACACCAAATATAAATTACAATAAAACGTAATAGAAAAGGAAAGACAAAACAAAGCAGTTACCGTATTTTTCGCTCTAGAAGATGCACCAGACCATAAGACGCACCTAGTCTTTCCAGGAAAACAAGAAAAAAAATATTCTGAATCCCAGAAGCCAGAACAGCAAGAGGGATCGCTGCGCAGTGAAAGCAGTGATCCCTCTTGCTGTTCTGGCTTTTGGGATAGCTGTGCAGCCTGCATTCGCTCCATAAGACACACACACATTTCCCCTTACATTTTAGGAGGGGAAAAGTGAGTCTTATAGAGCAAAAAATACGGTAATTAAATCCTCACTTACCTTACCAGGTTGTTTTCAGGATAGTTTCTACATAATGCATGTGAAACATTTTGAGCACTTGCAAATGATGTACAAATATATCTGGCTAAGTATTTTCTATACTGATTGGCAGCGGCTATCCAGAGGTTCAGACCGGGGCACTTTTCAACCTGGGATCTTCTGCATGCAATATAGATGCCCTACTATAGAACTACATACTTCCTCAAGATTCTTCTTGCATCCTTATAACAAATAAAGGCAGGCACTGGTGCTCAATTTCCCAAAGAGAACCAAAACAGGATGAGAAATCTGTTGTTATTCTGCTACTGAGAGTTCCTTCTGAGAGTACCTGCTGACCTCCCCTTCTTAAAAGATGCACAGCACCTCCGTGGGAAGCCGCAATCAATAGCCCCATCCAATAGGGTTCACAGTTATTTAGTCATCAGCTCATTAGAAGAGGGAAATAGATTACACTCTTCATAATTTTACTTATTGATTGGGGCTGTTTTGGGGAAATTTATTTTTATTTTTTATTTTAAGGCCCTCTTACGATAAATGTGCCTAAAGTGAAAAATAAAATAAAATGCACGGCTAATTAACTATTCCTATAAAAGCAGGTGATAATTAATGGCCCATCCAGTAGCAGTAAAAAGAAGAAGAAGAAGAAGCTTTTTAAAATGGGGGGGGGACTATGATAAAGTTTACAGAAATGCTCTGTTGCAGAAAATTAAATCCACAGTTTGCATCAGCAAGCTAACAGCCTCACAGCACTTTGAGCATTAATAGTGTTGTATGATTTACAACTTAATATTGTGAGCTAGCAAAAACAGCTATCGTTCTGATGGGTAGGAAGTGCATATATAGAAGGGAGGGTTTGTGTGTGGCAGGAATTTATCGGGTGGGAGAGGCATAGAAGGGCTGAGACACAGGCTACCATGGCAAGACTTTGCAGCTGGCAAGTGGTAGTTCAATGGCAAATGTGCTTCAGTGCAAGCAAGTGTAAAAGGATGCACATTTGGGAATCAAAAGCTTAAGATCACAGCTAGCTCTGACTGTCTCACAAAGACTAGAAGTGTGCCATTCAAATTAGCTGGAATCCATCATGCATGCAGTGTGCATAAACCCAAAGGACCTCTAAGCATGGCTTAATGCATCCACCCCACATTTGCAGAACTATAACTAGGCATCCCATGGTTCAGCTTCCATTGTAATAGAAGTTCAAGTCTAGTCCTGATGAGTGCTGATCTTTAACAAAGAAATTCCTAAGCAATCAGAGAAATTTTCTGAGATTTGCTCCCGTTGTTTTTGTGAGGGTCACCTTCAGCTAAACGGGGGGGGGGGGGGCAGCCTCTGAAATTTTCAATCAATGATGCTAGAGAGATTGCAGGCGGGGGCGGGGGGGAAGAGAACTGATATACAGCTCAGAGCCACCTTGGGACATGGGCTTGATAGACAAGCTGGAGCTATAATATTAGCTCAGACGATCACAAAAAGATAATCTCCCTGTCAAACAGAATGTCAGCAGTACAGCAGAATATTTATCGAGGAAATCTTTTCCTGCACCCCAGGAAGTGATTTGTTTTGTACTGTCAGTTTACAAGGAGTGCAGGAGGTCCTCCAAGGACAAACACTGAGTTGCCTCTATTAATCCCCAGAGAAACATGAGAGCGTAGCCAATTGTCAATGATGATGGGACTCGTAGTCCCAAACGTCCAAAAAGTATTAGTTCTTTCTTTGTTTTCTGCATCTATGCCTTGACCAAAAAGGCTAACCCAAAATCAAGCTCACCATCTTAAAAAAGGCATGGCACGCAAGGAAAAAAGAAGGGAAGGGAAGAGGGCAAAACAAGCTCAAGCACAAGTTCTTAACATTACAGTACTTAAAGTTGCAGCTGATGTCGGTGGCAGTTCTGACTGTCTTGCCAGAATAGAATAGTTCCTCCCTTGAAGCTCGCTCCTCTCCCAGATCAGATCCTGGACCAGAGCAGGTGATAATGCTCAGGCCAAGAGGACAGGGCAGCTCCTGCCACACAGTTCTTCCCTCAGACAGCTGACTTGACGGCAGTTAGACTACAGGTTGGTAGGAAGCTGCAGCACAGGCTAGCTGCAGAATAGGTGGTGATGAATTCAGCAGCAGTACCAGAGGAATGTGGTGTAGTTAATTGTGAGGCACTGCTCAGGAGCTAGATACCTTTATGGAATGTAGGAAGCTACCAGGTCAGACTATCTGTCCATCTAGCAGTGGCGTATCGTGGGGGGTGCAGGGGGGGCCGGCCGCACCGGGCGCAACATCTGGGGGGGGCGCTCACACTCGCAGCTCTCTGCCCCTACCTGGCTCACTCACTCTCTCACTGCAGTGCTGGCTGTGCAAATCCGATCCGAGCCGCTGGGTCACCGCCCACTGTGGAGGGGGTGGGTGCCAGGTGTGCGGTGCGGAGAGAGAGTGAGGGACTCTCTGGGGGAGGGACAGTGCAGCGGCCGCCCAGTGCAGCGCTGAGCGCGGGAGAGAACCACACCAGACCAGACCAGGCAGCAGCAAGAAGAAGCTGGCAGCGGCGGCAGGTTAGGGGTTAGGGGGCGCAAATTACTTGCCTTGCCCCGGGTTAGGGGGCGCAAATTACTTGCCTTGCCCCGGGTGCTGACAACCCACGCTACGCCACTGCCATCTAGTAAAGGGACCCCTGACCAGCAGGTCCAGTCGTGGCCGACTCAGGCTGGGCGTCATGAGGAAGACTTCAAACAGCTCACTTGGCTAACTGCCAAGTGAAACCAGACATGCAGAGAGCTTCTTTTCTGTTCTTTTATTAGTAAAGGTAAAGGGTAAAGGGACTCCTGACCATTAGGTCCAGTCGTGGACGATTCTGGGGTTGCGGCACTCATCTCGCTTTACTGGCCGAGGGAGCCGGCATACAGCGCGTACATGTGGCCAGCATAACTAAGCCGCTTCTGGTGAACCAGAGCAGCGCACAGAAACAGTTTACCTTCCTGCCGGAGCGGTGCCTATTTATCGGCTTGCACTTTGACGTGCTTTCAAACTGCTAGGTTGGCAGGATCTGTCCATCTAGCCCTGTACTTTTTATTTACTCTGGCTGGCAGCAGCTCTTGGATTTTTAAGATTCAGTGCGGATTGTTAAAGCTGCATTAATGTTTTTAATTGATTTTGTATCGTGCCAAAGCATTTATTTTGTGAAGTCTGTAATTTAACTAATTAATGATCAATACCTATACAACAGCACAACATCAATAAGTTTCCGTTCTTGGTTGCAGGCTGAGTGATGCTGTCCAAGTCACAATGGACAACAGGCTCCGGGAGGGGGACCAGAGAGTTAAGAGTTCTGTCACTCTTCATCAGTGATGGCATCAGCACTAGCCAATTGACCCTGAACATCATGAGAAGAGCCTGCTGAATCTGGACAATGGCTCGTCTGGCCCAGCATCCTTCTTTCTGTGGACACCCAGATACCTGTGAGATACCCACAAACAGGACTTGAGCACGTGAACACTCTCCCCTCCTGGGGTTTCCAGAACTCCAACCATGGTTGTCATCTTCTGCTCACTAACCCCACAATGCACTGCTTCCCAGCTTTGTAGGACAAGGCCCAGGAAGGGGTATGCTCCTGCCTGGCTCTCCTACAGTGCACTGTGTTCTTTCCCCCACCCCAGCTCAGTAGCTTTATTCAGGACATTTTCAAGCCTTTTGTGTTTCTCCCAGATTAAGGCAGCTATTTTATCTATTTCTCCAACATGGCGAGTCGCTTCCAAGTACCGAAGCACATCATTAAGGGCAATCTGGCCTTGTCACGCTCAAATAGCCTTCCTCTTTATATATTAAAAATGCATTAAAAGGCTCTCTTGTTTCCCCACCAATTAGAGAGGCACAAATTCCTAGACTACAAACATAACATTTTACCGGATTCTGCTCACACGTCAAGAGGAGCGTACCTTTATTTTTAAATGAACGGCAGGCTTTTGTCAATTTATGGGTATAACATGGCATGCAATTAGAGCATTATAGCTGCTAAATAAAAGGCTGGGAGATTATCTGTTTGTTTGCATCTTCTCTGCATCAACTGTGTTGGCTTAGCAACACTCCTGTCTGACAGTACTTCCCCGTTGTTTCATGTGGCACTGTTTGTACAACTAAATATAAGAACACAGGAAGAGCCCTGCAGGATCAGGCCAAATGAACAGCCCACCTAATCCATTATCCCATTCTCACAGTGGCCAGCCAGATGCCTGTGGGAAACTGACAAGCAGAATTCAAGCACAAGAGTCCTCTCCCTTCCTGTGGTTTCCAGCAACTAGCATTCAGAAGTATTACTGCATCCAGCTGTGGAGGCAGATCATAGCCATCAAGGCTAGTCATGTGCATTATAAACACCATACACTATTAAGATCATTTCTGACAAAGCAGTTACTGGGCTTACTGTTCTCTCCTTGCCTTGGATCCATCTCCCCTCGTCCCTGCTTCCTGTCCCTCCTTCAGACTCCTCCCACACTATTGCTGGTTTTGCTTCTGAACTCCGTTCACATTGTTACACCTGTCCAGGAAAGGAAGGAGGCAGTGATTTGGCCCAACCTGGGTTCACAGCAATCAGCGCTGTTTCTGTTCCATTGCAGTTCACCTTGCGCTATAACCTATGTTTTTCATTTCGCTATCCACTACATCCAACACTTATGTGATTATTTAGTTATGTACCGTGTTTTTTGCTCTATAAGATGCACCAGACCACAAGACGCACCTAGTTTTTGGAGGAGGAAAACAAGAAAAAAAATATTCTGAATCTCAGAAGCCAGAACAGCAAGAGGGATCGCTGCGCAGTGAAAGCAGCAATCCCTCTTGCTGTTCTGGCTTCTGGGATAGCTGCGCAGCCTGCATTCGCTCCATAAGACGCACACACATTTCCCCTTACTTTTTAGGAGGGAAAAAGTGAGTCTTATAGAGCAAAAAATACGGTAATTAATTTCAGTGCCATAAAATAACATAATTATTTACAGAACATTTGTGGACTGAAAATAAACAACAGCCAATACTGCTCATATTTACTTGTGTGATTTCTGTTCCTAACCCTGGATGAACATGCAAATTGCAGGAATGTATGTTTCCATACATGAAATTCTCCAATACATGTCATCTGCCACTAGCAATCTACCAGTTGTCAACTTCTGTCTCCAGGCAGAAGCTATTTGCCCATGGACTTATTCATTATCTTTTCAGGGCCAGGATAAATATATCCTGAATTAACTGTATCTTTGACAGCTACTACTTTTCCTTAGGCTTAATCTGTTTCTTGGTTAATAAATTCACAACAAGTTTGCTGTTGTTTGTTGTTTGCTTTACTCTTAATGATGCACTATTTTTGATTGTGAGCTTTTGAAACTGATTTGTGGTCTATTCTGTGTTGGCACAGTCTTCTCCAAGCCCTCCCAAATTCCCAAGCTTTGAACTGATGTGGCTCCACCCCTGCATTTTTGCCTCCTGAACTCATGGGCTGCAATAGTTGGCAACACCACACACTCACATGTACACAGACAGACAGACAGAGACAAATACCCCCCTGTTTAGCTAATCCAGGGGTCGGCAACCTAAGGCCCATGGGCCGGTAGCAGCCCACGGGGCTCATCTAGCTGGCCCATGGCGACCCCTCCCGCCCCCGCCCCCGCCTCCGCTCTGATGGCATGCGCACGGGCTCTCCTCTGACCCGGATGTGCGCTGGAAATAGAATGTGTACATGCGTGCGGGATGGAGAAGTGCCCGTGCACATGCACACACGCTATTTCTGGCGCACATCCAGGTCGAAGGAGTGCCGGAAATAGCATGTGCACACGCCACCAGCCCATCCTCCGACAGACAGAGCATGGACTGGCCCGTCGTCCAGTAAGCTTGCTGACCCCTGAGCTAATCCATGTAGATCAGCAAAGGATGGGGTTGTTGTGGCCTAAGGGCTCATCACATGATCACTTTGACGTACACGGAGAAAATAATTTGCATTGCCATCAGGGCATTGGGGTCAAGTAACACTGGGTCTATTTTTTTCTTTTTACCACTGCTGCCAAAAGTTGGGGGAGGATTATATGAAGCTCCCATTTGTTGGGTCTTCATTTGAATGAGGCCCCTGAACTAGGAGTATATCATTGGCCATAGCAATGTGCAGCCCTTTGCAAAGTGTTGGCTACACACACACACCAGCCGTCCATTGCTTAAGCCTGGAAATTTTCTGTCCTTGCAGCACAATTTCTAATGCAATGGTGAACAAATTTAGCATGAAATTTTGCTAAAGGCAGAACAAATGGTGCTACATTATAGGTCTCCACAATCTTACTGTGAGCAAATACCTTTTTTTAAAAAAAAAAACAGCCTGTTTTTTGAAAGGAAAATCAATGTTCTCATTTCTTCAGTAGACCTGACACACACACACACACATACACACACACACACACGTGTATATTCAGATATTCCTGGGGTTGTGTATACACTATTGGCTCATGACACATCTAGGTTGTTCTTTTTCTCAATGCAGATTGAAGCTGGTTTAGGGGGGAAATGAATCAAAACACAGCATTTTCATGAGAAACAACAGGATAGATACAGAATAGTTATGGGTTGTAGCTAATGAATGTACATTCTTTCCCAAACCAGAAGTGTTAGGAATGTGTGCTCAGCCCCAGTCAAGATCCACTGGGCCTGGCATCAAAGTCTGGTAAGCCCTTCTGGGAAGAGGAGAAGCAAGAAGAACGTGTGATGGACCTCAGCTCAGGATGGGGATAAATTAAAAGCTCACTGGAAACAGCCTCAGACGGACATTCCAGGTAGCACCCTACCTTTAGGAAGCTATAGCACTGAAGGACCACATAACGCCCTTGACAGCCTGGGAGCTGCCGGAAAGGGCAACCAAGATGGTCAAAGGGATTGCAACAAACTATAGAGGAGACTGGCCACCTTGTAGCCAGCTAGACTGAAGCAAGGAGAAATGCATCCTTATTGGTCCTGCAAGGCTTTAAGGGGACTCAGGCTAAAGACCCTTCTCAGGGATACTTCAAAGATAAATACTGTTTTGGTTTGCAAGCTGCAGTGATAACGCTCGAGCCGTGCTTCTCCACCACTGTGACCTGAAGGAACAAGCATTCCAAAATTGTGGATAAGAAAAGCTATGTGAAGGAGCAGGGTGAAGATAACTCAGAAATTAAATGCTCTTTTGTTTGGAGTTGAAACTCAGCACTATGCCTGCCTGCCTGCCTGCCTGCTTGCTAGCGAGCTAGATCTTGGTATTTTAAAATAGAAAAGAAATGAATTATTGAACCATATGTGAGATGAATGAATGTATTATATTTGCATGGACTTCTGACCTCTTGGTCCATCCTGTTTTATGAATACACAATGACCTATATTTTTTTAAATAAAAGACTAAAAAAAGGATAACAGCCACTGTTCTTATGGAGTCAGCTCAGCTGAGAATATGTTCTTTCGTTCTTCTTAATGACCCACCTCTCAGTGGGAACAATGGAATAAACTTCACCAGTTCCAGGAATGGCTTAGTTTTCATCCTGGTTTTGGGAAATGCCATGAGATTGGGAAATCAACAGACTCATGACTTCCCCCAGCATGCCCATGATTCTTTCCATAACATCCCCATTTTCTGTCTTACTGACACAAGAGTTGTGGCAGGGGCAGACCTCGGTAATATGCTGTCCTATAGAGGCCATTTGGCACACACACCCCAGCCCTCGCAGCACTGGTTTAAGCTGGGCTTTGGGAAGGTGGAGTGAGGCTCTGGCAGAGTCCTCCAGCTCTCCTACCGTATTCCCAAAGCCTGCTAAGGACTTGCTTGGCTTTGGGAAGGAGGACAGAGGGCTCTAGGACCCTGCCAGAGCCCTCACACCTCATTCCCCAAGCCAGGCAAGTGTTTACCAAGCTTTGAGAAGGCACATTCCTCAGCTATGTGCCTGGTGCGACCATACCGTTCACACTGCCCGAAATCCGCCTCTGGCTCCAGAACTGGAAGGGCAAAAACCACGGGAGTTATGTACAGTGGCAGGGTGAGAACATCCAGCATTGTATCTCCCTCCCTGGTCCCAAGAACCCTGCAATGCAGGAATCACAGCTAAAGAATCCCTGACCATGTAACCTCCCTTTAAATACCTCCAAGGCAGAAGAGTCTACCGCCTTCTAAGTTCCACTTCCAAGTTCTACTCTCAAACAGTTCTTACTGTCAGATAGTCCTTCCTAACATTTAGCAGGAATCTCTTTGAATCCATTGATTAGGGTCCTACCCTCTGGAGCAGCAGAAAACAAGCTTGCTCCATCTTCCGTGTGACAGCCCTTTAGATCAGGGCTAGGCAAACTAAGGTCTGGGGGGCAGATGTGGCCCAATCACCTTCCAAATCTGGCCTGCGGACGGTCCGGGAATCAGCCTGCCCTTTTATTTAAAATTCATCTCTGGGTTATTTGTGGGGCCTGCCTGGTGTTTTTACATGAGTAGAATGTGTGCTTTTATTTAAAATGCATCTCTGGGTTATTTGGGGGGGGGCATAGGAATTTGTTCATTTTTTTTTTCCAAAATATAGTCCAGCTCCCCACAAGGTCTGGAGGACAGTGGACCAGCCCCCTGCTGAAAAAGTTTGCTGACCCCTGCTTTAGGGGGGCCATCCCATGGGGCGGACTGAGGCAAAATGGGATGGGACACCCCTGACTAGGGCCTATGTAAGAAGTGGGACCTACAAGTTCAGGTCTGAAGCCAAAAGCTACAGGGCAAGGTGGGTCAGAAGTTGCTGGACCAAGTGGGCAACTTGTGATTGGGTGATGCCATTTTGGCTGCATGAGGACCAGCATTCAGAGAACTGAGATTGTATACTACAGTCCTTCCCGCTAGCTGGTGCCCTCTGGATGTTGTTGGACTACGACTCCCATCAGCCCCAGCTCTCGTGGCCCACGGCCAGGGGTGATGGGGACTGTAGTCCACAATGTCTGCAGGGAAGTCAGATTGGGGGAAGGCTACAACCAAAAGAAGAGAGTCACTTGCAATGCAGCGTCTCACATTTCCTGCATTGGTGTGCAACACAAAATACCGAGGAAATGAAATGGTAAGCACCACAGTTGAAATGGTATCCCTTATCCCTGCTCCCAGATTGACTTCACTATATTCTGATTTAATGCAGTCTGACCTTTAGCTGGGATGGGGACGGGGAGCTGACATTCCTCATATAAAGCACCTTGTTTAAAGGCAGGAGTCGTTATGCCCAGGATACGCTTTCAAAATTAAGATTAAATTTGAGTGCCTTGGGACACTTGTAAGTTTTCATGGCTTCTTAAGCTCATCTCTGGGTACAAGTTCTTTAGTAGGAGGCAGGGAACCAATAGTTGAATTCACCTGGGAGGCAGTGGAGAAGGAAACTGTCTGAAGAGGTCAGGAATCTAATTGGAGATCTGTAGTCACTCCACCTAGAATTATTTCAGGCATATTTACAACAGGACACAGCTCTATACAAGCCCCAGTAATCGACTGTTCCTTGATATTGCAAAGTGCAGCGTTTTGAAGGCACTATCAATCAGCTGATCAATGGTGCCTGTCTTTACCTTCCCCACACATGACATCACATAGGATGCCATGTTTCAGAATTGCTGGGAAATGTAGTTGTCCCAGTGCTAATGAAAGACAAAGGTGGGGAAGAGGACTTGACTTAAAACCCACGATATTCTAGGATAGGCATGGGCAAACTCAGCCCTGCAGATGTTTTGGGACTACAACTCCCATCATCCCTAGCTAACAGGACCAGTGGTCAGGGATGGTGGGAATTGTAGTCCCAAAACATCTGGAGGGCCAAGTTTGCCCATGCCTGTTCTAGTACCATTATGCTTGGCTCATATTTGAGGTGAGCACTGAAAGTCCCCGAGAGTTATATTTAATTTGACACTCAAGTGACCTCACTTAATTTCCCCATTTTCCGTGCAACCATACACAACAGATAAGGTGTGCCAGTACAACTGACATCCAGGTGACAGCAAAAGCCGAGAAAGAGACCAAGAATTGCAGTTCTTCCCTTCACTGGCCATGCAGAACACCTTATTCTTGTCAGGCTGAAAAATGTTTGGGCTGTCATGCTCCCACTGATGAGGTTAAGACTGAGAGCATCCTTTCTGCTGGCGTTTTCCCCCAAGATCAACATTCATTAGGAAGTGATGGAAACCTTTTGCCCCGAATCCCCCAGTGAGTGAATTGCTTTTCACCATTCTGAGGGAGATGACCATCTGCAAAGAGACGAGTTGCTTGAAGGTGATGACAAGCCAGATGGGGGCCTTGACACTTGCTCCAGTGCTTACCCTTGAAGAAATTCTGTTTTCTCAGCAGTTCGGGGCAGGGGGGAGTTCCAATAGAGCACATAACTTTTTTCTCAACCCACCTGTTCCTTCAAGAGTGGACCTTGAAAGTCAGATCAATTACACAGCCACCTGCACTGAGCCATAACAAAATAGGAAGTGACCTTATACCTGATCAGTCCAGGCAGAGGTCTTTGACTTCCCTACCTAGAGGTGCCAAGGACTGAACCCAAGACTGAGCACCATGCTAAGTATATGCTCTGTCACTGAATTATGGGATATCAGATCTTTTTTTAACGTCAAGACAGACCACTGATCCATCTAGCTCTGTATTGCTTACACTAGGGGTAATCCACGTAGTATCTGTGGGATGTGAAACACAAGAGCAGTCAAGTACAACATTCCTAGAGTGAACATGTTTACACATGGGGAGGAATGCTTGTCCAGCCAGCAGGTAAACTTCCTATTTCCTTCTGGGCTGGGACAGACTTCCTCTGTATGTGACTAGAGGTGGGCGTGGCCTCACCTGTGCAAGTAATGACAAAAGCACAGGGCAGGGCAGGGCAGCCATCTCTCTTTTTGACTACATGCATCAAAGAAGCAACATCTGCTTAGCCAAAGAAGATGCTGTCTTGGCTTCCAGCCAAGAGAGGACAAGAGAGGTCTTCTTATGAGATAGTTTCTAGGTATATGTTACTTTTCTAAGCCAGGTCTGCCTTCTAGGATCCTATTGTGAACAGAATGATATGTGAGCAAACTCTTTTTATACTTTCATAGAAGACTGTGTCGTGTTTTATGAGGGAATAAGGGGAAAATACCAGAACAGTTATTATAGAGGCTTTAACGAGCCTGAGCAAACGCATCCGCTGCAAGTTTAAAGGGGGAATGTTACTCTGCTAAATTGTGAACTTGTTAACACAAGTTGGAAAAGGATATAATGAAACAATATATCCTCTTCTGCATCCCTGAACATTCCCACAGTATCCTCCAGAGTTGTTGGAGCCCTGGCCCTCATGGCCAGTGGTCAAGAATGATGGGAGCTGAAGTTCAACATCATCCTGAGGTTACCTCTGTCTTCACTGACCAGGAGAAGCTCTCTGGTGTTCCAGGCAGACGTCTTTCCCTGCCCTACCTAGAGATACCAAGCACTGAAGATGGTGCTTTTTACGTACAAGTCATTCATTGTACCATTGAGTTATGGCTCTTCCCCATTGGATGGAGCCTACTGAGTATGTCTACTGACTTATAAAGCAGAAAGCACTCACAATGATGAGGAAGAACAAAAATAGCTGCATTATACCAAGTCAGGCCATTGGTCCATCCAGTTCAGCAGGAAACCTGAACCTAGGACCTTCTACATGCAAAGCAGATGCTCTACCACTGATCTATCACCCGCCCACTGCAAACAAAGCAAGCCAGTCCAGGTCTCCTTGAGAAGAAGACATTATGGTAGACCTATCGAGACTATTACAAGAACAATGAATGGTCAAATTAGAGCATAAATAGGTGTCACCTAGAGATCCTCATCTCCATTCCTTAGGCCCCCATCCTGTCTTCCCATCCAAATTCTCTCTCAACTTTTTAAACCTCTTCCAGCAATTTCAGTCCATGTTCAGCATGGTGGGTGGAAAAAAATCATTTGAGGCCAAGGAAGGTTGCCTGTAATCTTCAGACAAATGGATGATTTATTGATGGAAGTCACCAGGAGCTAATCGTTAGGTGTTAGGCAAAGCCCTGCTTTTGCTACCTCCAGACAACTTCGGGAACCCTTGCTAAGAAGCTCTGTAATTGCAGTGCACACTTTTTATTTCATAAAAAGCAAAATTGACAGCCTTTCCTGCTGCTTGCATTGGCTCCATTCCCCTCCTTGCAAAAATAGAGCCAATTGGCAGTTGGGCGGGTGTGTAACTAAATCCAAGTGGCTTATCCTTTGTGAAGTGAGTGACAGAAAAGGCTGGAAGTAATCCCAATGTCATTGACAATTGCATGCAGGAAATCTGAAGAAATGTGAGCGTTTTCCCCTTCACTATTATCATGAGTTTGGGGTGGGTAGGCTGAATACCTGGGCTGGAATCCCAGAAATGGGCGAGCAAGTGGATTGGGCCTCAAAGGTTTGTTCACACAGTGCTGGCATCTCCATGTCTTTGGCGACCGGCGGGGGGGGGGGGTAAGCATTATCCTATTGGTTTGGGTGTTGTCGCCTTCTCTGCTCTAGGTTCTGATGTTTTTTTTATTAAAAAAAATAATATATATTTTTAAAACAATAAACAATAATTCAACAACATTTCAAATTTAACATTCAATCAACCTAAGACTTCCCCTCCCTCCCTCCATGGTTTCCCCAATGCTGCATATTATAATTACTCTATATGCCTTCACTTCCTCACAAAATAAAGAAAGAAACTCCACTGCTGTTCTTACTCAAATCCTATCTGCGTTTTAGCATATTTACACTGAGTTTTTAAACAGTCTACAAACATTTTCCAATCCTCCTTAAGTTCAAACTCTTTTTTACCTCTAATTTTACTAGTCAAGCTTGCCGATTCTAGATAGTCTGTCAATTTCAGCTGTCATTCTTCTTTAGTAGGTACTGCCTCTTCACGCCATTTTCGTGCATTTATAATATTTGCGCAGCAGTTGTTGAATAAAGAAATAGATTTGTCTGTTTTGGAGGACATCTGTTCCAGTTAACCCAAATAAAAAGGCTTCTGGTCTTTTGGGGAGAGTTACTTTAAATATATTTCTTATCTCATTATAAATCATCTCCCCAAAATCCGTAGCCACTTTGCACATCCGCCACATGTGGTAAAATGAACCTTCTACAGTCATACCTTGGATCCCGAACGCCCTGGAACTCAGACGTTTTAGCTCCCAAACACCGCAAATCCAGAAGTGATTGTTCTGGTTTACAAGTGTTCTTTTGGAACCCAAACGTCCGATGGGACTTCCACGGCTTCTAACTGGCTGCAGAAGCTTCCTGCAGCCAATCAAAGCCGCAATTTTGTTTTCGAACATTTTGGAAGCCAAACAGACTTCCGGAATGGATTCCGTTTAATTTCCAAGGTACAACTGTGCTTCTTTACATTTCCAACAAAGATTTGACACTGAATTATACATCTTTGCTAATTTACTTAGTGTTAGGTACCAT